AGCGGGGCTGTAGCGGGGCTGTAGCGGGGCCGCAACGGGGCCTAAGTGGGGTCGACGGGGCCTTAGCGGGGCCGTAGTGGGGCCGACCGGGCCGTAGCGGGGCTGTAGCGGGGCTGCAGTGGGGCCGCAGCGGGGCCGAAGTGGGACGGACAGGGCCTTTGCGAGGCTGTATCGGGGCCGCAACTAGGCCTAAGAGGGGCCGACGGGGCCTAAGTGGGGCCGCAACAGGGCTGACGGGGCCTAAGCGTGGCCAATCGAGGCCGTAGCGGGGCCTAGGCAGGGCTATAGCGAGGCCAACAGAGCCTAAGCACGGTCGACGGGGCCTAAGCGGGGTCGACGGGGCCGTAGCGAGGCCTAAGCGGGGCCGACGGGGCCGTAGCGGGGCCGACGGTGGGCGGCTCGAGGAGCAGTAAGGGCGGCCAAAAGGGGCCACTAAGGCGACTCGGGGCGCTACTCGGGTTAGGAGCTAAGCGCGCTCCGGGCAGGGAAGGAAAAAAAATACGTGGTGGGCCCTAGGCAGTATTCCCACTCGGGAACCTGCTCGATACCATGACGAGAAGTGAGAATGGATGAATGAACTATGAAAGAGTTGGGTACAAGTACTAACCCTAATTGGGTTGTACCCCATATGGGCTACCCACTACAGCCTACACAAATGTATAGGCTATAATGTTCTGACAGCAAGAAACACAGAAAATAGCTATAAATACATAAAATGGGACAGAAGACACGAGCGTTAGAAGCTCTAAACGTCAATCGTCGTTAATCAAGTATGAAGTGTTAAGAGTGTAAGCTATAACTTGCACCTTCAGACTAAGAAACTAAGGGAAACTGAGAAACTAAGGGAAACAGAGAAACTAAGGAATCGTGGACGAGGATTGAACAGGGAAGAGATGGAATGACGTGAAGAGCAATTAATCGATGCTTTGACGGTGAGATAGGTGGGTAGGTTGCATGCATGTACAGGGTGGGGTGAAAGTGGAGAGAGAGGGATTGAAACGAGGGTGCGCTCTATGTGCTTGGGATTGGCTGGGATTGAGCTGTTGCTCACTTTGTCGCACATGACAGCCTGTTCGAACCTCACAGCAGGTCGCGACTCGAAGCCTGTAACTGCTGTGTGGTGTCTAGCGCGCCCAAGGATAGTCACATCAGTAACCACACAGCATTCTAGGCGCGACACGAAAGTTTTTCGATTCCTTTCGCCACATCAGCAATGAGGGCACAATTCATTCGTCAGAAAACTGTTCAATGTGTGTGAAGATAATTGCGAGAGAGGAATCGTTCAATGAAAGAATAGTCGTATTTCTGGGCACATTCAAATGGATAACTAGACCACGAAACAGCATAACAACTTTTCGTGACAACCAAATGAAGAGTATGAAAGGTATTCCAGCAAAAATTATAAAATTTTCCCCATCAATCAAATTAATGTGTGTAACATATTTTATTATGCGACTTCATAGTTTCTATACTATTGTTGTTATCTAGCTTATATTGTAATTTCCTTGAATTGTGTCCAGCATTTACTACTACGCGCTTGCTTCGAGTTGCTTAACATTTTTATATTAGGCTGACTTTGTGCAACGTTGGCATGCTCCGTTGTTCCAATGTTGACACGCTGCCTTGCTGCAGTGTTGGCAAGACGCCTTCATGCACCGCTGCAAGTCGCCTCGCTAGGTAGCTCGTTTTGTTGCAATGTTTACCCATGAATATTGATTTTCTCTTGACATTGTCAAATCGTTGTTATCTTTTCTTAGTTCATCTCCTGCAAAAATTACCTAGAAACGCAACAAATAATGAAGCATAAGTGAGACTCCGTTCATTATGCAAAAAGTCAATCTACAACAGGAGTTGACTAAAGACGAGGTCACTGGGTTGTATGCGTGACCCTATTATCCTACTAGTGTTTTTACTATTTCTTTTATTTGTTAACAAGATTGGAGTGATGGCCCCGCCCTCGCTTGGGCAACCCCAACGACTTGGTCGGATGAAGTCGGCCTTTTGTCAGAATATTATAATTGTCTAGCCTGCAGTGGGGTACTCTATAGCGAGTACAACCCAATTAGGGTTTCCTATATGTATGCCAACTGCTGCTAGTGCAAACCCCTCTCTCTTCTTCATTCCTCATTCTTCACATGCTATCAGAGCATCTACACTCCTCGCCTGTGGGCCCACCTAGCTGCTTCTGCTGCTACTCTGTGTGCTGCACGCCCCGTGGCGTGCCCCTCGCGCGACCCTTAGCGGCCCCGTCGCCACCCCTCGCGGCCCCGTCCCCGCCCTTCCAGGCCCCTCGCGGCCCCTTCGCGGCCCTGTCGCCGCCCCTAACGGCCCCGTCGCCGACCTTTCAGGCCCCTTGCGGCCCCCTTCGCGGCCCCGTCGCCGCCCCTAGCGGCCCGTCGCCGCCCTTCCAAGCCCCTCGCGGCCCCTTTACATCCCCGTTGCCACCCCATCGGCCCCATCGTCGCCACCAGCGGCCCCGTCGCCACCCCATGCGGCCCCGTCGCCGCCCCTAACGGCCCCGTCGCCAACCTTTCAGGCCCCTCGCGGCCCCTTCGCGGCCCCGTCGCCGCCCCTATCGGCCCCGTCGCCGCCTCCAGCGGCTCCGTCGCCGCCCCTTGCGGCCCCGTCGCCGCCCCTTTCGGCCCTGCCTCGACCCTGCCCCGGCCATGCTCCGTCGCCTGTTGCGGCGCACCGGGGGCACGTGCACCGCCCCACCCTCTTTTCCCGTTGCATGTCGAGGCGACCTAAGGGGGCCGCGTGGGGGGGGGGGGGGGGCGAGCGTCGCCCCTTCTGCCGCCTGCTTTGGCGCCCTGGGAGACCGCGCGTCGGCCCCCCCCTCCCCCCCCCCCCCCCCCCCGTAACCTCCCTACCCGCCATCCCGCCCTGCCGTGTGTTAGGGTTTGGGGGTGGCGGGTGTGTGGTCTCCCCTGCTCCTCCTCTATCTCCCACTGCTGCAGCTGCCGTTGAGGGGGGTGGGTGTGTGGGAGTCGACGGAGTGGTGCTATGGAGTGGGGTGTGAGTGAACCTACGGTGCCGCAGGGGGTGTGTGAAAGGGGTGTGCTGTGGGAGTAGAACTAGGGTTTGAGCTGGGGGTGTGTGTCGAGAGGTGTGGGGCAGATGGAGGAGGTTGTGTGAAGGTAGCTGTCGTGTCGCCTGCAGCGCCTGTAGTCCGTCGCCCTTGCTTCGGTAGCCAGTGAGCCTGTTGCACCAGTCGCCAGTGGGTCCGTTGCTCCTGCCGCTCGTCTATAGCCGCGGAGCCAGTTACTCCAGTAGTCCGTCGCCCTTGCTTCGGTAGCCACTGAGTCAGCCGCTCCTGTGCCCGTGCCTCTGCAGCTTTGGTCGTTGCCTCCCATCTTCTCTCCCTCCATAGTTCCTCCTCCTCCTCACTTGCCCGTTGTGATTAACTCTAGCTTTGCTCGCTGTTGTGAACTCCTGCTCTATGCCTGCTTGCTCATTATGTTGATTACACCCCACTTAGGCTATGGGGATGTGTGAGAATGTTATGATTGTCTAGCCTGCAGTGGAGTACTCTATAGCGAGTACAACCCAATTAGGGTTTCCTATATGTATGCCAACTACTGCTAGTGCGACCCCTCTCTCTTCTTGTCTCCCAGCATTGCACCGCAGCGGTCTGCCAACATTGCAGAGGCAGGTGAACTTCTGCGCATGGCACATTGCGCATGTTGCAACATTGGCAAGCCGCCTTGGTGCAGCGTGGCAGGCCACCGGCTTACTAGGTTGGCAAGCCGCCTTTCTGCAGTGTTGGCGCGGTGTCGACTTGTAGTGTTGGTAGGCCACGAACTCTGCTGCGTTTGCGGTCTACTGCGTCTTTGCTATGCTGCGTTGTATTTATCCTGCGAGTACTTCATTTTTTTATTTTTTTCAAATTTACAATTGTATGCGTGTAACAAAGAAAGAAAAAAAACCCCTTTTTTTTCAAATTTACAATTGTATGCGTGTAACAAAGAAAGAAAAAGACCCATCTGGTGATGGTTTGCACTCACACAAATGTAATTCAACGCAATTATTTGTTTTAGGAGATTGTGTTGACAGATTTCTGAGATGGTTAAGGAAAAGCGAGCTATAACAATCCAGAATAGGCATGTATAGAGAATTATGGCTGGTTGCCAACACCAACATGTCCAGCATTTGCCAGAAGTGCATGTCGGCGAAGCTTGACCTCTCGTTACTCTCGCGATCGTTTCGCCAGTAGCTGTTCAGACCTTGTTAGAACATTCGTGCCGCCCATAAAACCAGATAATTCAACTGACTGTAACAATTCCCTCCCCAAAATTGCCGCGTGCAGAGTTGTGCCGCATCTAGAAGTTTGAGCCATCGATTCTTGAGTCATCGAACGACTCACGACACTCCGTGAAAGCTCATTCTCCGAAGCACATGCAACGCGCGAAACTGAGTGTTTTGTAAGAGCGATCCTCAGCATTCGCCAAATCGCTTGGAAACTCATCCGTTGATCAAGCGCAGCCACATTCCAGGAAACAACCAAGCACCATTTCTTGCGCACAGAATTGGCATAACAAGTTTCATGACAGTTCCAAAATTGCCACCTCGGCCCCAAACATAGGCACAGGCTATATACAACAACTTACAACGATTGGACTCCATCTAGAAAAGTGGTCCGATGGGCCACACCATTTTCAACACCTTCAGCATTTTTGCGATGTTGTCGAAGGAATCAGTAGGTGCACGCACTATAACACCAGCGAGATTGCGGGACGCGATAGCTGTTGCTGTTTTTCTGCTGCTGGGAACGTGCGTATGATGGTGGTTTTCTGCCAAGTCGCGGGGCGAACGTAAGGGTATTAAGGAGTTGGAAGACAGTGGTATTGTCGCTCCTAGACGGCGAACGCAAGGCGAAGTACTAATTCTCATAAGCTACTAGCCTAGCAAACCACTCGCTGAAACCAGGCAATTGCTTGGAGGCGAAAACCACTCGCCAGCAATCAGTTTCCTACAAGGTTGCGGGACCCCCCAATTTCCCGATGATGGCACCATCGCCGGACGTGAAGGTGCCCGACGATCGCCTGGGCGTCGCGGCGGAGCTCATTGCGGGGCCGGGCACGGACGTGCGAGGGCTGTTCGTATACGCCAGTACCACGGGCACCATGACCATCGCCCCCGGCGACCCCGTGAGTCTAAACGACACGTCGCCTTGTCTGCTCTGCCTTCTTCCCCCACTCTTGCTTTCCGCCTCCGTTTTCCCGCATCCCCATCCGGTTCTCCTCTTCCCTCGTTACATTCTATTCACCACCCACCCTCCTATTACGATGCGATCTTAACTGGTAACCGGGTTTAACTAGGGCCTAGGCTTAGAAGCCTAGACCAAGCGGGTATCGAGGGTGGCGAGAGCAAGGGTCGATAGAAATTGACCAAACAAGTTAACTTCACTAAAAGCAAAGCATACAAGATATAGTCGAGAAACTAGGAAACAAGAGGTGCACCACCAACTGCAAAGTACAATAACTACAGTAACTACAGCAAGCAGAATATATCTTAAATATAACTTTGACACACCCCCTTAGCCTGCTTGCAACAGGAACTAGTGTAGTCAACACCCCTTGAAGGGGTATAGCTGGCGCAGTGGAAGACGGCAGAAAGGAAAGTGAGGAGGAGGAGGCGAGAGAGAGAGAGAGAGAGAGAGAGAGAGAGAGAGAGAGAGAGAGAGGAGAGGAGAGGAGAACAAAGGGAGAGGTGATTAAGGGATGAGGAGAGGAGGTGGGGGAGAGGCCGCGGCGTCCCCTCTTACTAATCCCTTTTTACAGAGGGGGGGTTGAGTGGGGGATGAGGAGAGGAGGTGGGGGGGTGGCCGCAGCGTCCCCTCTTACTAACCCCCACATCCCCACCCCCAATCAACCAACCCCCTTTAAACTCACCCCCCATGTCAACCGCCCCCTGGAACTGCACTCCCTCCCCCCCATTCTTCCTCCAGACCCCTCCCCACCCACGATGATCCCTGTACAGTCCTTCACAGGTGGGGCTGCTGGTCACAGGTGGGGCTGCTGGTCACAGGTGGGGCTGCTGGTCACAGGTGGGGCTACTGGTCACATGTGGGGCTGCTGGTCACAGGTGGGACTGCTGGTCACAGGTGGGGCTGCTGGTCACAGGCGAGGCTGCCGGTCCTGGTGCCTGGTGCTGGCGTGACAGCGCTGGTGCCGGTGCTGGTGCGGGTGACTGGTTTCGGTGCTGGTGCTGGTAATGGCGGGTCAATGCGCCCATAAACCCCCAGGATAACGAGCCAGTACCCTTCCCTAGGATCAATCGGGGATCACCAGTGGACCTCTGACACCTCCCCCATCCCGCAACCCCCTCCACAACCCCGCCACCCGTCCCACCCCCTTCCCCTAGCTGCCAGCAGTGTCAGTGCGGCGCGCGGGGGCGCAAACCGCCATTCCTAGTGTTGGCGCCACCGTCATTGCGAAGGTGGGTGGGGGAGGGGGGAGACCCATCGGGGAACAGGGAGGTGGGATGGCGCTGCTGGTGGCGCATGAGGTGCTGAGGAGGAAGAGATGGGAGAGGTGTCGTGCCTGTGGGAGGCGGGTACAAGAGTGAGCACGTGGGTCTTTTTCGTTCTTGTACGTCTTACCCCCCCCCCCCCCCTCTCTCTCCCGTGTTCCGCACCCCTCACTCATCCATGGCACACTTCCTCACACACACATCCCGACATATCTTTCCTCCTCCCCTTCATCCCCTTCCTCCCATCCGGGCCATCCCTCCCTGCATTGCTTGTGGCATCTTTGCCGGATCCTCTTCCCATCGACCACCAATGCCCTGCCATTCCCCCCCCCTTACTGCAAGTGGCTAGGGTGACGCCACGAGCAGCCATGGCGAACATAGTGTGTGTGGGCGCACACGCTGTTAGAATCTAGCAGTAGGAATGAATGCACTATGGAAGAGTTGGGTACAAGTATGAAACCCTAAACGGGGCTGTACCGCATATTAGCTACCCCACTACAGCCTACACACATATAACATGCATATAATTTGACACACCCCCATAGGCAAAGTGGGGGAGAACAAGCGGTCACAAGACTAGTCAAGAGAAGCAAAGCAAGCTCAGGGTGGATCATAACGTCACCACGCACACTGAGCACAAGCAAAGGGCCACAAGGCCAGTTCATATGCATGGGTAAATATGCAACAACGGCAGCACAGTGATCTCTACCTAGCAGAGCAAGAATGCATGTATATATATATATATCACAGTACAGGCAAAGACCACAGCAAGTGAGAAAACATGGGCACACGGCCTAACAAAGTACAAAAACGCTGATGATCACCAGACGGAAGTGCCTTGGTGAATATATCAGCAGTGTTGGCCCGAGTGGCCACGTGAGCAAGACGAAGCTGACCACGCTGCTGCAACTCTCGAGCAAGGAAGTAACGCAGAGCGATGTGCTTCATTCTGTGCTCTTGTCTGTGCTCTTGACACAAGGCAATGGCGGCCTTGTTGTTGACGTACAGCACTGGAGGAGAACGAGGTCGCTCTTCCAAATTGGTCAGCAGGTAGGTGAGTCAGCGTAGCTCCTGTGCAGCCATGGCTGTGGCGTAGATCTCAGCCTCACAACTGGAGCTGAGAACTGAAGACGAGCATGTAGACTGCCACAAAACTGAACCAGAACCAAGGCTGAAGTTGTAACCCTGTGACGACCGCTGCGTAGCCTGGTCGTCAACCCAAGAAGCGTCCGAGTGCCCATTGAGGACAACTGGGCTCCGCCCTCCAAGCACGAGCCCCATGCCAATGTACTGCACAAGTAGCGCAGTACCCTCTTAGCAGCATCCATGTAGACCTTTCGGTGCGTATTAGGAGCCACGTAGTGGGCCAGAAGGCCAAGAGGGTACGCAAGGTCAGGTCGAGTGCAGGTCATCAGGTACATGAGGCAGCCCACTAGCTCTTGGTATGGGCCATTCGGCTCTACCAACTCATCCAAAGGCAGAGCTGAGAGCGAGTGGCCTGTAGCCAGAGGAGTGTGCTGTGGCGAGGACCACATGAAGTCGAAGCGCCGAAGGACCTGCTGCACCATGTGTGACTGAGTCAGTGTGATGGTGCGGCGTGCTCTGTCCCGAGTGATCTACAAGCCAAGGTAGCTGCGCAGCTCACCTAGGTTTTTGCACGTGTGTCTCTTCTGCAGCTCCAACTTCACTAGTGCGAGAGCCTCAGTGTCAGAAGTGGCAAAGACCAAGTCGTCGACGTGCACGAGGATGTAGAACGGCGGTAGCGAACTGTCGATGTGCAGAAACAGCGATTAGTCACCAGTAGAAGGCGCGAACCCAAGAGCCGCAAGTGTAGTCCTCAGTGTGTCGTGCCACTGACGTGGCGCCTGGCGGAGACCGTAGACCGGCTGCCGGAGGCTCCAATGAGTACCACGAGGAAACGACCCAGTGAAGCCAGGTGGGCGGCGCAGCCAGATCTCCTCGTGCAGGCTGCCTTGTAGGAACGCAGTGCTGAAGTCAAGACAGTAAAGCTCATAGTCACGCTGAGCGGCAACTTGCAGTAGCACTCGAAGAGACGTCATCTTCAAAGTGGGGGAGAAGGTCTGGAAGAAGTCTCCTCCCTCTCGCTAACTGAAACCTCGAGCAACGTAAGGAGCCTTGAAGACAGGCGGAGAACCTGGCGGCCACTTCACCCTGAAAATCCACATGGCACTGACGATGTTCGCCCCAGGAGGGGGAACCTCGTCAACGTAAGTGCCTGTGGACTTCCAGGATGCCATCTCTGCGTCCATGGCTGTCTGCCACTAAGAGGAGTACTCACCCGCGATCGCCTCAGCGTAAGAGCGCGGGGTCGGGATGTCTGGAGCATTTGGGTCTCTCTGAGGGGCAAGCACCATGGACACGAGATGAGGCGCAGCGGCTGCAAGACACTTAAGGTCCTCCTGTCTGTCCTCAAGGACGTGCGTGCCAAGAGCACACTCACCCCCGACGGACGGAGGACAGACAGACTCAGACTCAGCAACTAGACTAGCGGCGTAGTCTAGACAACAGGCAGCAGCAAAGTCAACAAGCTTAGTGTCTAAGGCAGACACAACAACAGATTCAAACGATGGGTTAGTGACAACTGTGGCTAGTAGACGCGTGACAGTAGGGCGAGCAGCACGGGTGCGGTCAGACTCAGGCCCAGGAACGGTAGGCAAAGAAGACGCGGGAGGGGATGACGTGGGAACACGCTACGGAGGAGAGGAAGGACGACGGACTACGAGGTGGGTGCCGGGGACAGCCGGCTGACGCGAATGAGGAACATGACGACCAGAACAACCAAAACGGACAGGAGAGAAAGGACGCGATGCAGGCTCACGAGGCTCAGTAAGACCTCCTGTCTGCTTAGTGTAAGGAGAAGGAGCAGGCAGCGGTGATCCAGGCTGTAACGGAACACCAGTAGACAAAGAGAGACTAAGAACCTAGCGAAGCACAGAGTCAGGCGGTGGAGCAAAGAACAGGCGCGGCTATGCAGTGCCACCACCACCAGCAGCTCCAGCACCTCCACAGCTCCAGAACCCTCAGCGCCAGCTCCTCTAGGATTAACTCCATCAGCAGCAACACCCCCAGACCCAGTGTCTGCTGCAGTAGCACCCTCAAGCTCAGCACCTCCATCCCCAGCAGCTCTAGTACCTCCAGTACGAGCACCTCCGGGACCAGCACCACTCCAAGCTCTAGGAACGTCAACAGAACTTCCTCCAGTGGCAGAGCCCCGAGCTCGCGAAGCGCGACCCTGACGGCGACCGTACCAGTCGTGTAGGTGCTGTGAGGTGAGAGGCACACGCGGAAGAAGGCGGCTACTCCAAGGAGACCATGCAATAGCAAACTCAGAACCCTCAGCACCTCTTGAACCTCCAGCAGCTCCAAAACCTCCAGCTCCAGTGCCACCAGCGCCAGCACCTCTCGCAGTAGGGCCCCTAGCTCCAGCAGCGTGACCCTGACGACCAACGTACCACTCACACAGCTGCTGTGGGGAGAGAGGGAGTCGATGACAAGAGTGCAGCGGCGAGGCACCAACGGAGCTACTACGGAGACGACCGCTCCAGGGAGACTGCTCACCAGACGCCTCAGCGCCCCCCGGTGCAGCACCCCCAAACTCAGTACCCCCAAGCTCAGCACCCTCAAACTCCTAACACTCAGGCTCAGCACCTCCAGGCTCCGCACCCTCAGGATCCGCACCCCCAAGCTCAGCACTCCCAGGCTCCGCACGCCCAGGCTCAGCACGACCAGGCTCAGCACCCCGAGCAGGACCACTCTCAGCAGGACCTGAGTCACCAGTGACCTCAGCCGGCGCAGTCAAGGGAGGAGGGTCTACCTGAGACACACCTGAAGGAGCAGGACCGGGAGCGGGGAGGGGATCTACCTGGGGAGCACCTGGAGCGAGGAAGAGCGGCGGGGGGGGGGGGGGAGGGGAAGTGCGGTAGGGGAAGAGACGGTAAAAGGGGACCGACTCGTTGAACGTGACGTCCTGAGAGGGGAAGACACGGGGCAAGGTGGGGTGGTAAAACAGCCAACCAGGCGCGTCAGAGACAAAGCCCAGGAAGACACAGGGAACAGCGCGGGCGGAGAGCTTGTCCGTGGTGGTATCGCAGACAAAGGCACGAGCACCCCAGACCCGGAAACGCGACGCATCTCCAACCTTCCCCGTCCACAGTAGTGTGGGCGAGGTCTGTGGCAAGGAGACACGGGGCCAGAGGTTGAGCTGATGCGCGGCGTACCAGCCCGCAAACGGCCACAGAAAGTGGGGGGCAGCCGCATGGATCATGGAGGTACGAGCGACCTCCATGACTAAGCCAATGCGGTGCTCAGCAACCCCATTCTGCTGCAGAGAGGCTGGAAGCATGAATGTCTGGCGGGTGCCGTGCTCCGCACAGAAGGCTGCCAAGAGGTCTGAGGAGAACTCACCACCTTTGTCAGAGTGCAAACGCAGGACAGGAAAGTCCGTCTCGAACCGCTCGCAGAGCCGGAGACGAACATCGTGGATCCAGGGGATCAAAACATCAGGGACCTCCCCCTTGCGCTGCAAGGGGAAGACCGTGGTGTAACGCGTGTAGTCGTTGACGACCAGCAGGAAGTACCGCTCGTGGCCCTGTCCACGGACGCGGGCTGGGCCCCACACGTCCAGGTGGAGAGTCTGCAGGGGAGCCTCTGTGGGAGGGAACGAGGAGGAGTGAGTAGCGGCGCGCTGCCGCCCCTCGACATAGGGAAGACAGGGAGGAGCAGGCAAGGGTGGGAGGGGAGGGAGAACTGTGGGAAGACCAGAGACAAGGCGCTGCACTGAGGGGTGACCAAGGTGGTGGTGCCAAAGGAGGGTCTGGTGCGACAAGGCGCGACACGAGCAGGGGGACGCTAGCTGATCTGATGCAGACGCATATGCAGCTACTTGACGGGACTCAGTGGTCAGTGTGTACAGGCCCAATCCCGGCTGCCGAGTGAAGGTACCCAGGTGACGACCCATCTGAGCACACGTGCAGTGTGTCACACGCTCGTAGGCAGGGGTGAACTAGTGAACACCCGCGTCCTGGAGCGCAGAACCCGCCACCAAGTTCGTAGAGAACGAGGGGAGGTAAAGACCC